TTTCTAATTAGAGATAGCTGTATAATTTTAAGTTAAATGTGGGTAACTAACTGTTATCTGGTCAGTTTTTATACATTCTAAGATTATTGTACTAAGTGTAAAGTTTAAATTGAATGTTATATAAACGCTTGGTTTAAAAAGTTATTAAATTGTTAAAACACAATGTCCGTAATTCTTCATCAGACGTTTATGCTTCTTTCCAAGTAACATTGCAAAACTTATTTACACACATACTGCATATATATTTCAAAATGTATATTTAAATGCATTTTCCCGACGTTTTGGTGTGTACCGCAAAGAATTATGGGCCATATCCTTCGCCAGAGTGCGCATAGATGCAGGCTACGGCGAAGTGTGGATCAGGGGCGCAAAGGGGGCGGGGCCAAAGACCTCCCTGGAGAATTGGGACACCCTACGCACTCGCACCCTTTATCGGGAACGCGCAAATGAGGGGCGCGAGGGTGGAAGTGCGAGTATTGGGACGGGGCCCAACTCGACAGAACACCGGAAACCGGATTTGTCCGGAAGTTCAGTTTGCGTATGTCAAAAAGTGTAAATAAATATGTTAACCGTTTGTGTTGTCATATACACATTATATTATTGATTTGTGCTCACATCTATCAAGGTTTATTACGAGAAATGGCAGAAAAAGAGCTCCGAGAAAAAAAATACTTTTTGTAGCCGCGCAGCTCGTGCCCAGATGCGTTCAAAGGCACACGGAAATGAGGCGCACACATAGACAGGTTGATTCTTGATTGGATTCACTGTCCTTTACTTTTTTATCATCCTACACTTGTTATGTGCATCCCTGTGTCATATTTATGAAATTTCATTTCATTCAGAATAAATTGGTGTATAAGGGCTGCGTGCTGGTGCGATGACGTACCTAGTCGAGGGGGAATTAAATTTTAAATTGTTGATGTTGCAACATGTCAAAATTTGAAGCGTACAAACAGTTATTTCAGTTCCTTGGAGGAGGTAAATGTAGAAATCAAGCCACCAAGAAAGCAGTAAAAAGGATGGCTCCTCAATATATAATTAAAGGTAAGACGAGGTAAAATGATATGGTTTGAGAAGTAGTTGTTTCTTGATTTCCATATTGTTTGTTATATGTTTTCGCAATGTATATTTCACAATTTATTGCAGTTTTATTCTTCTGATACCATCTTTTGGCCACCCTACTTTGCTTTTCTTGCGCCTTAATTCTTCCACAATACCAATTCCACGATAGTTATTAATTTTAAAGGAGCAACCTGGTCCAGTCTGACACTGCGTCTACTGCTGAATTTATTGGCTAAAAGGTCTTATGTGTAGATGAAGTATTTATTGTGTTGTTCAAATCACATGTACATTTTTCCCACTATTTCACAGACAACAGACTCATGCAGCTCGCGGAAATTCAATTTGGAAGACGTCAGCCAAAGCTACCCCCTCCAGGCCGGCCTCGCATCCCCAGTCTATCGCACAGCAAACGCCCTCTTCCAATCAATCCGTGCCGGCCAGGCCAGCCGCTTAAAAGCGGAGAAACTCCCACTTCACGGCCTTCTCGAAGCCTTGCAAAGAGTCGTTCTGGAGGAATCGCTTTTGTCTACTCACGCTTACTCGTTGCATGTGTCGCTGCTGCCCTCTGTCTTGCTGCGCGTGGTCTGCTCCTCCTCCGCGTCGCTGCACCAGCTGCGGGTCTCGTGCTGTGGTCCGTGGGTCTTTGCCGCTCTCCTCCTTTGCGGGCTCTTTCTGCGGGTTCGCCGCTGCTCGTCTCGTCGCGGCCTGCTGCTGCATACGGCCGGTCTGGCCCGGTGCGGTGGGAGCCGTGCGCATCCCTGCCTCCTCGTGCCGATACGGTGTGGTCCCGTTGTGTTGTCCCGTTGTGTTGTCCCTTGTCTTCTGGCGTTGTGGGTAAGTATGAGATCTGCGGACGGTTTATTCCCCTCGCATCGTACTGCAGGCTCAGTTGGCCCCGTGCATTGGCGGGCAAGCTTCAGTTTAAAGCCCTCGCATTGGTCTGCAGGCTCTCTTTAACCAAGCTCCGTTTAAATCCCTCTCGGACTGCGGCTCTAAGTTTAAATCCTTCACTCTGACTGCAAGCTCCGTTTAATCCCTCACATTGGACTGCAAGCTCTCAGTTTTAATCCCTCACTTTGGCCTGCAGGCTCTCTTTAAATCCCTCTCTGGACTACAAGCTCTCTTTAAATCCCTCTCTTGGACTACAAGCTCTGTTTAAATCCCTCTTGGACTGCGGCTCTCAAATTGAATCCCTCACATTGGACTGCGAGCTCTCAGTTTAATCCCTCACGGAACTGCTTATATCTGGAACTGTTATACTGTATATGGAACTGCTTATATCTGGAACTGCTTATATATGGAACTGCTTATATATGGAACTGCTTATATATGGAACTGCTTATATGGTACTGCTTATACCTGGAACTGCTTATATATGACAAAAAAACAAAAAACTGCAGGCTCGGTTTGGACCCCTCACACTGGACTGCAAGCTCCCAGTTTTAATCCCTCACTTTGGACTGCAGGCTCTGTTTAACTCCTTCGCACTGGACTGCAGGCTCTCAGTTTAAACTCCTCACTTGGACTGCGGGCTCAGTTAATCCCTCACTTGGACCGTAAACTCTGTTTAAATCCCTCACACTGGACTGCAGCTCTCGGTTTAATCCCTCACTTGGACTACAAGCTCTCAGTTATAAATCCCTCTTTTAGGACTGCAGGCAATGTTTGAATCCCTCACTTTGGACTACAAGTCGTTTAACTCCCTCACACTGGACTGCAGGCTCTCAGTTAAACGCCTCACTTGGACTGCGGGCTCAGTTTTAATACCTCACTTTGGACTGCAAGCTCTGTTTAGGTCCCTCTGCGTCTCGTGTCCCGCAACCTCTTCCCGGCTCTCCGTGAGCCCCAAGTCGTCACGCGGCTCGGGCGCGGGAGGTGTCCGTGGGCTACGTCATTGGCCCCTTCTCTCCGTCTCGCTCTAACCCGATGGGCATCACCACCCGCAAGCACTCCAGGAAGAAGCGTCTCATTTTCGTCCTCTCCTGTCCCCGCTCCGGACCCGCCTCGAGCATCCACAGCCCCTTCCCTCCAGCGCCCTTCTCCCTGCAGTCCGCTACCGTGGACCACGCGATCAGGCTGATAAAGACTTTCGGCCCCGGCTCCTGGCTCTCCAAGGCCGACATCCCGGACGCGTTCGAGCTGCTGCCCATCCACCCCGACCACTGGCGCTGTTCAGGGGTCAAGTGGCGTCAGAGTTCTTCTTCGCAGTGCGCCTCACCTTTGACTGCCGGAGTAGTCCCTCTCTGTTCAACAATCTCTCGGAGGCGCCGTGTCGGTTTCTGCTTAATTACGCGCGGCTCCCCTCTGTCCTGCATCTCCCCGATGATTCCCTCGTAGTCAACCCACCCTCAGACTGCTCCGGGGGCTCTCTCCGCAAGCTCAGGCCCGCCTTCTCTGCCCTCGGACTCCTTCACTCCGAGAAGACCACAGGCCCCGCCACGGCTCTGGAGTTTCTCGGCATCCGCCTCGACACACGCGCCATGGAGGCCTCCCTCCCGCTGGACAAGCTCGAGCGCATCCGCGCTTTCTCCCGGTCTGCCTTGTCCTCCCCGTCACTTCGAGGCGTCCTTGATCTCCCTCCTCGGGCATCTCAATTATGCCGTCCGTATCATTCCTCAAGGTCGTTCTTTTATTTCCAGACTCCTCTCCCTCGCTGGCTCCGTCTCCTCCCTCAATGACGCTGTCTGCCTGGACGCGGGGTGCCGCTCCGACCTGGCGTTCTGGTTTTCGGTTGTTTTTTTTTACAGTGACGTCATCTTGTCCTCAGATGCCCTGCGGTTCTTCACGGACGCAGCCCCGTCCGTGGGTTTTGGTTTTTTTTTCCAGGACCAGTGGTTCGCCGGGCCCCGGCCCGACGCTTTCCCTCGAAGCATCTCCTCCGCCCTCCGCAGGCTACGTGCTGCGGAGCCATACGTGGCATAGGAAAAGAATCGCCATCTTGGATCACCGGGGCTTGGCCAGCAGCTGCTCTTACAGTCACAAGATGGCCGCAGTGTTCCTGGCGCCAACATCCCTTTAGTCTCAATGCAGTGCGCATGCGCCCCAGCAGTAGTGTTTTCACAGAATCTTTTCTCTTTGTGTCGCGCACATGGAGCTCCAGAAACACTAAAGGATTCTCCACGTGCCACAAGCACGAAGGGAGCTACAGGAGCTAACAGGAGAGAGCTAACAGGCAGAAACTGAGAACTAAACCTGACTTCAGAGACTTATAACGTTATAGCAGCGGGAGGTTTAGCCACAAGAGGCTAATAGAAGCTAACAAGGACGAGAAGAGCTAACTCAGTAGAAGATTTATTGACATGGCAGAAGTGAAACTGGAGGAAGAGTCGGAGCTCAGAGACATAAAGGAAGATATAAAGAACTCTGAGTGAGTAACACACACACACACACACACACACACACAAGTTTTTCCTCCACAGTCCGGACCTGAACCGAGTCTATCCTCTTAACCCTTCAAGATCTAGGGCTATTTTGGAGAACATTCCTCGCCTGGTTTTCTTTGTGTATTAATGCTCATAAAAGAGTCATCTTGTGATGCAGAGTCAAATATTATACATTCTTTTTTTCAGTACAACCTGGGGATTAATAATATTCATACTATACTAGTGTCATATGAATGTGATAAAAGTTATGGAATCATAAAGACATTAGAAAAAAAAAACGGAAAATAGATGTCTCAATCATTTATTGGAAAAACACCATGAACTTCAATGAACAACTTTTTACACTGTATAGATAGTTTCTTTGGGGTCTTGGGCATTATGTGTAAAAAAATGGAACCTGTAACTATATACATATTCACATAATGGCACAATTACTGCAAAAAAAACCAGTCGTTTTATGCCTGATGCCACTCATGGAAACAGTTCCTGTCCATAACAAGGCAGAGAGACTCATCACAGGTTTCACACTTCCAGGAGGTGCTTTGAATTTTCTGTTTAGTGGTTCTGCAGTGAACACAGCTTTTTCTCCCATATGAGGCCCGCCTGCTTGGGTCTTCCTGCTGGGATACTGGCACCGGTAAGTGTTCTGCTGGGGCTTTCACAGGAGGCACAGTGGCCGACACACCACACAGCTGGGCTGTCAGCTCCTCCAGAAAGCGTAAATGAGACAACGGGGTCTCTCCCTTTTCTGTACACAACTCCTTGTGTAAAATGTACGCATTTGTGGCCACTATGTCCATAAAATGAAAAAAAAGGGTCCTGTACCAGCGTTTGGTGGAGTGGCGAATAGTGTAGTACTGGATGAGTTGATCTGACAGATCAACTCCTCCCATGTGCTTGTTGTACTCCACAATAGGCTGAGGGCATGGAACGCCCCGGGTGACCCATTTGCCGTCATTACCTTTGAAGCGCCGTCTTGCTGTTGCACCTTCGTAAGCCGGATGGATGGTGGAGCAGATGGAAACTTCACGCGAATCCATCCACTTCACAAACACTAGTGGGCCCTCCCTGATCCACCGTATTGTGCCCCTTTCGTCTTTTTTTTTCATCGAGTTGTTTTCGATGCGGGGACATCCTCTCCTGTTATCCCTGTATGTGCCACAAGCGCCGATGTTCATGCTAAACAAGTCCATGAACAGTTTTGGGCTGGTGTAGAAATTATCCACATACAACTCGTAACCACCGCCCAGGAATGAGGGATTTACAAGGGAAAGGACAGCATCGTATGCTAGTCCCACACCGGAGGAAAACTGGGACTTCCCTGTGTAAATAGCAAAGTCCACTGTATAGCCATTGCTGCTGTCTGCCAAGACAAAAAGTTTGAAGCCCCACTTTGTCGGCTTGGCCTTCATATACTGCGTCATTCCTGTGTGAGCCTTTGTTGCCACCATTCTTTCATCTATGGCAATGTGCTGTCTTGGGTGGAAGTGCGTTTTACATGCTATCAGGATGGTGTCCAGAAGTGGCTTCAGTCGGAACAGTTTATCATGCTGAGGGGTTCCTTTTGTTTGGTCATTCTTGGCATCCTGCTCCGGGTCACTTATATGAATGTTCCAGGAGATGGTCAGGTACCGATCTCGAGCCATCACTTTTGCGGGAAAACCTACACTAAAAATGGAGTGTTGTCTCCAATAGTCTGTGACTATTGGTAGTCTTGCACCCCGGTGTGCAAGACTACCCCGCACACCGGGGTAGTCTTGCACAGTTTTTCCAATGTGGTTTTACTGCAAATGGCAAATAAATGAATCTGAATCTTACAGAGCTTCAACAGTGCAAAATAAAACATGAGTCCAATAAATTTTTGCAGCTCAGTTTCTTCCAGTGGGGTCCATTTGTATTTTTTCCCATTTGCTATGTTCTTTGCTGCCTGTTTGTTTGTATTTGTGACGAGATTGGATATAGCACTTCTGTCCACAAACAACAAGAACAAATCCAATGGACTATAGGATGTGGATGTAACGAGCTGGTGTCCTGGTTTCCTTTTTGGCGTGAACTTTTTTGGCTGAAAATTGGTGTCTGGATCCTGTTCACTATTCCACCTGGCTTGATCCAGTGCAGGCCCGGGCCGTGGTGGAGATCTGCTGCGAGCTGTAGATCTTGTGCCCACTGTAGATCTCGTGCCCAATGCCGATCTTGTGCCCACTGTAGATCTGCTGCGGACTCTGGATGCACTTCTGCGTCTTGTTTTGCCCCTTGTTGAAGAGGAAGTGGAGGAGGGGAGCAGTGAAGGTGTTGGAGGTGTGAAGTGGGGGGCTGGAACAAAGGTGGAGGTGCTAGCCACACTGGTGGAAGTAGTTGGAAGCTCTTCACGACTGTAAAATAAGTAAAACAATAGAAACTAAGTAAAACAAATGAAATAAAAAAACATGTGGTATGTGCTATATAACATTTCACATGATCTATTATTGTCAGTGCAAATAATAAACACATCACGACTGTAAAATAAGTAAAACAATAGAAACTAAGTAAAACAAACAAAGCACTTACTCTTCAGCCGGGTCCTGGCGATCACAATAATCAAATTCCTCATCGGTATAAAAACTTTCTGGCTCAGACCCTGTATCATCATCACTCGCGCAGATTAGATCCAGAGCTTCTGCAGCTGTAAATAACTTCCTTGCCATTTTGAACAATTACTTTGCAAAAAGAATCGGAGGAGTTTTCGTGCGTTTGTCTCTAGTGCGCGTCTTCTGTAAATAGATGAGACGCGTCTTCTCACCTCTGTGTGACTGAGAGCATGTGTGACCAAGAGCATGAGTGACCATTTCCGGGTCTTTTTGTGAAATAAAAAAATAAACTACAACACGTAAGAGAGCTTACAGTGCTATGAAAAACAATAGGGTTTACATTTTTCATAGTTACGATGAAACAAGTCTTTTTGCGCATCAGTAATAATAATCAGAGCCGTAGTTTCAACCACAGAGACCACTTTGTAAACGCAGAGAAGAAATTATCTCTCTTCCTGCTGATCTTTGGCACCGGCATGAGCGAAAACGGCTTTGCAATTGGATATTTCATGTCACATGTGGTAGCTCGAAAATCCGATTGGACACTGAAACTCCAATAGACATAGAATATCCCCTGTGCGTCACACGGACAATCCGGAACCAGATTCATGGAGCCTGAGGGGTTTTCTTCGCGGAGAAAAAAAAAGTAAGGCGCTAGCTTTTACCGTTCGTGATTAAACTGATGACTTGTAAAACATGTGCACCGTTGTCGGCGACGACAACATCGTTGATTAAGGGTTAACACCCGCCTCATTTTGGCTCGTGCACAATGGTTGGGCATACCCAAATGTCTTTGCTTATTTAAAAACACATCTTACATCTCACATGCTTGTGTGATGCATCATTTTAAAGCTAGAGCCTTCTAGTTTATGTAAAAAAACACAAAAATAATGTTTGTCATTCCTATTTCCCTCTGCAATTTTTTTAGCCTCGCCTAACATTTTCCATTTCTAAAGGCCCTAAAAAAGGCATACTTCATTGTAAGTTCACAATATTCAAACCCTGTGGTCATTGTGTTGTTCACAACAACTATCTAAAGTTTCAGACTTCTAAATTTTATAGTTTTTACGCAGCTTCTCCTTTTCATCAAGTAGTGCACATTTGGCACAATTGTGCCAAATATCTTTACTGACATTTAATCATCATAAAAACAATATTTTTTATTATTGGTACTTATAAGTTATAATCTATGTGTTTTTTTTTTATGTCAAAGTTATTCATTGCAGCTTCGAGAGCGTCTTTTGGCTGCCATTACGCACAATTCTACAGGCACAACGTAAGACAGGACACCATTGTCCCACCCGTTGCTCGAAAGCTTTCCTCATTGGCTACATGGACATGTCAATCAAACATCCCGGAAGTAAACGTAAACAAGTTGGGACCACAACAAAGATCAGTGATCCATGCGCAAACAGCAGCGCTAGCTGTACTCACGGGAGCTCTTGCAGACCCAAAAATGGGGAGTAGTCTCATTTGAAAGATAAGGAGCTAAGGAACACGTAGATATCAGATGTTCGGGTGAAAAAAAAAACTAAAAGTCCGTTAAAAGTGAAAGACCAACATCTGTGCTCTTTTTTTTCGTTTTTTTTGCTAAAGATAAAAGCACATTTTTGGATTATTTCTGGAGAATGGATTTTACTTTGGGAAATACAAGTGGATATAATTTTCCTTTGGACTGTTCCAGAGAGAATGATGTATTGCAAGCTGGGAGGAGAGCTGATTTATTTGTACAGCACAAGCCCAATGGTAAAAAACTATTTCGGAATTGATTTATTTTGTGCCCACATTATGTGTTATATCTTTTGAATGCAAAGTCTGATGTAGTTTACATAAGAAAATAAGCTTTAAAATGATATACAGCTTTTGGGGTTTGGTGTTCAAAATACATCTGCTATTGCCAGCAGAACATTTAAAAACATAAAAACGGCACGCCGGCGCGCCGGTGGGTGTTAAGAGGCTAGATCAAGCCCCGGTGATCCAAGATGGCGCCGTATTCAGACCTGGAGGCTGTATCCGAACGTCCACACTATGGCCCTGTTTATACTGAGACGCTGCGCAGACGTTTCCAGGCTATTAACAGAAACGACCTGGCTCCTAATGCAAATTTCTCTGCGTTCACATGAGGTTGAAAAACGATGTAGTTCTAGCGCCCGGCCAGTAGTGGGCAGAGAAACTTTACAACACTCACACGACCCCCAGCCCCCCTCCCGGCAGTATACTCACTTCCTGTGCCAGACCCTCAGAACGCACCAACATCATTCTGCCTTTTAACAGCAGCTGTGAAAATGGAAACTGAACCTAGAGCTTCGCGTGGTCTCGTTTGGACGAACGAAGGAGTAGAATTATCCTCTGTGAAGCGCTGGAAGCCCACGAAGCTAGTTAGTGTGACCACCGCCATTGTTGTTGATATTGGTTCTCCGCTACTGCGCATGTCCAAATTTACGTGCGGGGACCAGCGCGGAGGTGGGGGTCAGAGCAGAGGGGGATTTCACACCTTTTCCCTCTCGCGGGTGGGAAAGAGCTCCCCGCTGTGCAGCGTTTCTGAGTTGTCCCACTCTGCAGGCTGGATCTGAACACTTACGTTTTTACCTGGAACACAGTCTTCGTATGAACGGTTGGTAGCAACCGACATCCAACTATACCGTTTTACTGCCACATTGTCTCCGTGTAAACTCAGCCTTTACCCTATCCACTCACTCACTATATAGTTCGGGACTATAGGGCTGGAAAGTCTCGTGTTCATTGCTCGGATACAAACAAACTGTCAGCTGTTTGAAGAGGCGGTTTAAGTGAATGGTGCAAAATGCTCTGCTTTGTTTTCGGCTGTTATCATCAAAGTTTACATGAAGTATGCTCATTTTTTAGGTTTCCCAAAGACCAACTGAAGCTGTGTAAAAAGCTATGCAGTTGTGATAAAACATTTTGTCTGATTTTACAGATGGTTAACTTGAATATGTATTCAAGCTAACTTGTAGCTAATGCTAACCTGTAGTGCGCTGCCGAGCCTTTCATTGTGGCTTGTATTTTAAGATAAGATTAACTTTATTGTTGTCACACAGGATAAATGTATTTATTTATTTGAGAGATAAAGGAGGAACATATTAGCACATATTAAATAACATTTAACAAATGTTAAAATATAACAGAAAACGGACAATCATTAGTAGTAAATGAATAGGTAACCCAACTACTAGCAAAAAGAAAAAAGGCCCAATGTGAAGCTGCAGTGAGTGTGAAGTGGAGATGGAGCTAATGTACAGATAGAAAACTGATCATTCATAAACATTGACTTATAACCAAAGCAGCAAAGATAGCTGTAAGGGACAACATCAATGTAATTGCATGGGAATAGTGTTTCTATATTTTCTTTCTGATGCATAATAGTGGTTTTAATCCACTATTATGCAACAATACGTTTGAACATGGCCCTGCACCTTTCTCATCTCCCTGTCATAGAAACATCAGGACATGGTCAGTTCACAGCTAATTCCGACCGCTCACTCCGATCTCAGCCGACCCCTCTCACCCTGCACATGGACTATTCCAACCACTCCCCTCAGGCAGGAGGCTGCGGTCCATCAGGATTAGAACCTCCCGCCACAAGAACAGTTTCTTCCCCTCTGCTGTTGGACTCTTGAACACTTCTTAACCTGTCCCCCCGCCCTTTATAAAGTCACTTTACTGCCCATCATACTTCACTTTACTTCACTGTACTGCTGTCATCTTACATTGTGTGCACCATGTGCACTTGTATATTGTAAATAGTAACTGTAACTCTATTTTAAATTTAAATTTATTCTTTAGAAGTGTTTTTTATTCTTATTTTTATTATCTCTTTCTGACTGTTGCACTGAGCCAAAGCAATTTCCAAGTCTGTGACTTCCTGTTACTTACGTGGCAATAAAAATGATTCTGATTCTGATTCATACAAGTGGCACGTGTGGTTTGTTTGTATCCGCGGGTGGAAATCTCGCAAAATCTCGCACTTCCGCTTTCCAGCCCTATATAGTCAGTGAACTCATTCTGTTGGCAATTAGGACGCTACACACTATTTTCAGGACGTGACGTCGTACGTGAAG